TGCATCAGAGAACCATTCTGGCCCCAGGAAAAGCAATAGGAGCTACAGGGACCAGTTATTACTGTGACAGGTGACAATGTAAAGCCCTAACTAGCTCAGTGCTCTATGGCAGCAACCTGAACCCAAAGAGCAACTACCGCACAGGAAATTGCCAAGGTTGCTAGATGGACCCATATCAATACACTACCAGTTAGCTCTTCATTACTGTGACGCATCCTTTGGAAACAAGATGATTCACATGTAAGCAGTGGTATCCTACTATTTCTCCTTACTGTTCCCTACAGCCTATTAGTAACTGACTGGGGGAGAAGTCAGTCCCAGAAAGGAAATTAGTAACCAATTTTCCATCCTCGGTTCATTTGGAACGTTGAAATCACTTTGGCCAAGAACTTGGGCTGAAGCCTGAAAGTAACCTCATCTTTATAAAACACTATATAAGGGGAACCTGCCATGAAGGCCTGAATTTCCTCTACCTCTAAAACTGATGTAATGGCTACTAAAAAGGCAATTTTCATCAATAGGAGGTTAAGGGATAGGTTGCTGATGGCTGAAATTGGGGACTCATCAATACTGTTACTATGATATTGAGGTTCAGGGGAGGGGGATTCTGCCTGGAGGAAAAACATGAATAGAGCCCTTAAAGAATCTAGACCTTGTAGAGTGAGAAAATACATGGCACTGGATAGGAGGGTGATGCACAGCTATTAGTACTGAATGAACACTTCTGTCACTTACTGAAAGTCCAGACTGCTTCAGGGACAGCAAATAGGCCAATAGCGCTGAAACAGGTGTTAAAGAAACTGGTGCTGATATGCTCACATATAAAGCTAAGTGAAAGAGAGTTTTCTAAGACATTCCAGCGGACGGTTTCCTGCTTTGCCGCACAGTGTTCTGAACTTTAGGTGAACAGACACTTTTGGGTGATATCATCCAGCCAAGCATCTAGACCGTCAAATGTAACAACGCTGGATCTGGGTGTAGGATCTGTCAGCTAGATCACGTAAGACAGTGTTTTTCAACCAGGGGTACACCCCTGGGGGTATGCAGAGGTCTTCCAGGGGGTACATCAACTCTTGATCAGCGTTTCTCAACCTGTGGACTGCGACCCCCAGGGAGGTCGTGGGATGAGTTTACGCGTGTTGCAAGTGAAGGGCCGGTGTTAGGGGGTGGCAACTGCCCAGGACCCACGAAGTTAAGTTACATGCTTCAGCCCCAAGTAGCAGTGCTTGGGCTTGAGCCCCGGGTGGCAGAGCTTTGGCCTCAGACTCCTGAAAGAGGTACAGCAGTCCAGAAAAGTTGAGAACCACTGAGGCAAGGTACTGAGAGGTTCATCAAATCCAAATACAAGAACTGCTTGGCCACTGGCCAGAGGTCTCATGATCATCAACCCTGCCTCTTGCGTCAGTTTCCTCAAGTCCTTAAGTATCATGACGAGCAGGGGGCAGGGATACCTCAATCCCAGTATCCAGGGGATGACAAAAGTGTCTGACCGTGAGTTTGGATTGGAGCCCCCCCCACTCAAGCAGAACACTTGGCATTGCTTGTTCTGGTCTGTGGCAAATAAATAGGTCTAGAGCTCTGTTTGTGAAAGACTCTCTGCAGCACTGGTTCTTGATCAACCACTCAGTGTTGTCTGAGACCTGTCTGCTGACGTGATCTGCTAGCGAGTTCTGAATCTCTGGCAGATGCAGGAGCAGTGGTGTGATCTGGTGGTAAATAGACGAAGACCAGAGCCAACTGGTCCTCCCTGTCTCCTAACATAATGTGCTGTCAGCAGCTGGCTTGTGGCTATATCTGGGATGGAGGTAGGAAGGCTTTGAATGCCAAGTGGATGGCACTAAGCTCTAAGTGGTTTATATGTAGCTGTGTTTCCCGCAGGGACCACAGAATTTGGAAGAAGGAAGCTGCCTAAATTTGAAGGTGAGCCATCAGCTGTCAGGCTTCATAGGTGGAGGTGCAGAGGCTACTCCGTTGTACACCCAAAGGTGGTCTTTCCACCAATTTAACAAGGAGAGGACTTCTGGATGTATTGTGCCCAATACATCAATGTGGTCCCTGCTAATACGCTGATTTCAACCGCCCATCTGTGGAGTGTAGGTTAAGTGTGACAACTGTGACACAAGTGCTTGAGACCACTGTTCTCAATGTCTGAGGCATATCCTCCCTTGTGTCTAAGTGAGCTTTAAGTCAGTCGATGAGAGTCTCTATAATTTGGAATCGCTCCTGGTGGAAGGTAAGCTTTTACTGATTTGTAATCTAACGCTGCTCCTATGAACTCTATGCTTTAAGTCACAGTAAGTGAGACGACTTCTCAGTTTTTGAGGCTCAGAGTGAAAAAAGCTTTAAGATTATTTGAATCCTTCTGGGGTGATCTTCCTTGGATCAGGTAGTAATGAATGTATGGGCCAGGGTAAACCCTCATCTTTTATCTCCTTAGAAGAGCTGCCTCAACTGTCAAGTATTTGTTGAATATCCTCAGTACTGTGGAAAGACCAAAGGACAGGAATAGTAAGAGATCCACACTAGGAATCTGATGAATTTCCTGTGGGCAGGATGAACATATGTGAAAGTAAGCTATTCTTTGCTTTCCTCCTTCTGTCTTTTCAGAACCAAAGGCTGCACTAGTTGACCTGGCTGGGATGGTCTGTACTGCCTCTTTGGGGAGGGAGAATCTAAGTCTGGAAGGTGCAGAATATGCAGGCTGGTCAGTAGATTTAGTAGGAACCACTGACACTCTTAGTACCAGGACTCCAGAGGGGCCCTTTTGCTGCTTTTTATCCTTAAGAGTGTTGAGACTAAGATAAGTAAGAAGTTTGGTGACTCTTGTTTCTCCACGTGGTAGGCACTGGAAGTTACCTGTGCCTTGTCTCATCTCTGGAGTAGTGCTTCTTTATGCCTGTTGAGGTTGTTAATGCTAGAATGGACATGGGTCCAGCACCAACAACCAACCTGGACTGATGTGTTGTTAATACTGGAATGACTGGGGCCGACTCACCCATCGCTCATGGAGAGGGACTAACTGGAGGATTGTGGTCAAGTTGCATCCTTCCTTTCAAGGACTTGCATTGAAAGTTTGAGGAGGAACAATACTGGGCAGACACCTCCACCTTTCTGAGTTTGCTGAGAGAAGTGACATATATAACATCACTCAGGAATATGTTCCTCCACCAGGCAAGAGCGGCATCGGGAGTGCTGGTCATTAAATGGCACTGAAGTTTTGAATGAGGGGACACATTTTCAACCCCAGGGATTTTACTTCTCCCATAATGCTGTACACGGAGGGCTCTAGCCTAAAGAGAGCTTTTGGGCACAGAACTATCTATATAAACTAACCCTTGAAACAATTTACCAAGGTCATGGTGGATTCTCTATCACTAGTAATTTTTAAATCAAGATCAGCTGTTTTTCATTGATGCTCTAGGAGTTATTTTTGGGGACATTCTATGGCCTGTGTTATACAGGTGGTCAGACTAGATGATCACCTTGGTCCTTTCTGGCTTTGGAATCTAACAACTAAAGTCTACTAACTAATATTAGCACATGGTGCAGAGAAGCAGATGGACATGGCAAGGATCCTTTTTCACTGCTACAGGCAGCAAGAAGGAACTGAAGAATGGTTGGGCCTTCTCCACCCTTTATGCCCTTTGACTTGGAGGTGCAAGGACATTTAGGGCACAGGTATGGCCCCCAAGTGAAACTGATGGCCAAAAGCACAGGGTGTACAAACAGCAGGAGTGGAATCCATGTGGACAACAATAAAAGAATTGATACGTACCTCTCCTACATGAATGTGGGGAAGCAAATGCAAGATGAATGTTGGTGACCTCTTTTCCATTTATTTATCTTTAAGAAGGGATGTGTATGTACTGCAGGAAAAGAAAGTGAGTGTCTTTTGTAATAATTGAGTCCTGTATAATTCCTTTTCAAGGAGTTCTCTCTTCTGCATGGATGCTGAGAAAATCAGTAAGCTCATTATCAAGCTTAAGAGAAAAGTCTTCAACAAACAAATTACATGCATGTTTAAATATCTTAACAAATCATACTACAGTAGAGTTATGAACACCTCAGGCCTGAATGGAGGTTGTTCATAACTCTGAAATGTTCATAACTCTGAACAAAACATTATGGTTCTTTCAAAAGTTTACAGCTGAACATTGACTTAATACAGCTTTGAAACTTTACTATACAGAAGAAAAATGCTGCTTTCCCTTTATTTTTTAGTAGTTTACATTTAACACAGTGCTATACTGTATTTGGCACTTTTTTTTTGTCTCTGCTGCTGCTTGATTCTTCTGGTTCCAAATGACTGGTCAGTTCATAACTCTGAAGTTCTACTGTATTATGCAATTTATTTAGCACTTTGTTAGCTTCAAATGTTTCACATAATTACAAACTATACTCATACCAGAGTATACCGCTCTTTTCACTTACCACCAACACAGTTGGCAGTGGCATACAGAAGTCCTTCTAAATGGCTTTCTCCCCTTGTACAACAAAGTGAATGGGTAAATTATCCAATTAAATAAAATTTAGGTAAGCAGAATGCAATTTAGAATTAGCCCAAAAGAAGCTGAGACTACTCTAGACTTTTGAAAATATAGGATCTTTAATACCCAGAAGTGGTCAAGAACTGTTTACTCTTCTTTGAACGAGATGTAAGTCTCAGGAAAACAGCACCCTTATCAAGCTGCAGCATCTAAATAGGACTCTGGGAATTGTGTCAATATTGGTATTGTGTCAATATCACTATCTGCAACAGCTGGGAGATGAGACCCTCACCAACTAGTGACCCAGTCTGGCCTTGCTTCGCTTACAAAATTATGGTCTGAATTAATACATTACAGACTACATCTGGTCATTTTTACACATTTAGTTAATTGCAAGTTAAGTTATAGTCGTAATGAAAATAGTATTTGACTGTTTAAAAAGCTGCCTAATTAACAAAAAAGAGTATTACACAAATCAATCAATCAATAGCAAATAAATGAAATACAAAAATAAAATGGCTCATATCTTTAATACAAAATACACTGTTTTTTTTCCAAAAGCAATAAAACAATAATGACCCAAATCAGAGTGCATTATAGGATAATTTAGGAATTATTACTAAATACAAGAAGATGTCATGTGCGTATAGTGAAATCTTGCAGTCAGTGAGGTCACAGTAGAGTCCATCTTCTGTGCATTTCAGACACTTTATTTACCAAAATACATAGATTAGTTGTTTTCAGTTTTTATTTTCTGCCAAGTAGCTGTAGCTACCACCACTTTTCAAAGTAAATGCAGTCTGTAGGAACACCAAAGTTTTCTAGTAGTTTGGATATAGATTCTATCATTGGAGGTGGACCACAGATGTACCATAAAGTATCCTTAGACACATGTTTTTCTAGTTCCTTTTCAGATATTCTTCCCTCTACCAAAGAGAACACACGTAGTTAAGAACAGAAATTCATATGAAGGCAGATATTTATGCAGTCAAAAGGCAGTGGCCTAAAGTTTCTAACATGGAGTAGTGATTCTGGTATTTCGACACCGGCCCTTTGAAAATCAGGCCTGTTTAAGGTTGCTCAAGTTAGGAAAACACACACACACACACACACACACAGTCACCTGAAAGCTTAGATCAGTGTTTAAGAAAACACAGTGTCAATTTACAGGATATTAGTTCTTCAATTGCCATTAACAGTAACACAATACCATACAACTAAAATATCCCATAATTTCATTGCGAATAGATCACTCTCTATGCCAAGGACACCTTAAAGGCTGTGGGTTTATCCTGCTTTGTCATTGCAGTTTTAAGCAAAGTAAATACAAGTGTTGAGAGCGCAGAGAAGAGGACTGGGAATGAAGTGTAAATAAGAATTAACAGCAAGTAGAAACAATTCAGCCATAAGTGTAACAGAACTTGTGCAAGCATACTTGAGATGATTCAGAGGACCAAAAAGTACATACAATTAAATCATTCATGTTTCTCACGTACCAATTTTCCCACCTATCCACTGGGCTCCTATCCCATTTTGTATGATTTTTTTTTTAGATATTATAAAACATTAGATTATGCACATCAAACATCTCAAAGTATAGGCTGAACAACACTATGATCATAACTCCCACTGAACCAATTACTTTAAAATCTCTAGGCATCACCACAGTACGTACCAGTGATATATGGCTGAAGTTCTTCACAGATTTGTGAACTCTGTTGGGTAACATGGAAACTGCATGTGATCTTTCCAGGAAATTCGTTCATCAAACCAAAGATATTATTCTGGAATGTTAAACATACTTGGTCATACCACAGAGTCTATTAAATCAAAGCAGATGTGTTCACAGAATCCCAGAACACGGCTGATTGTACTATCTACTAAGATTCTGCACATCAAATTCTCTCTATTTAAGAATTTGATGGTTTGAGTTTAACAAGCCAGAACTTTTTAAGGACTTTGGACTTCTTTATCTGGAATCTGAATATACTATCAATTATACTGCTGATGTTTTTCTCTGTTTCTGCAACTGTTTTTAATTAAACCACACTTGCATCTTATAACTATTTCCGCTCTTTTGTGGCTTCTCCTCTTGCAACTGTGAAGCTGTCAAAAAAGGCAAACTGGTCCCCATTTCCTCCCTCCACCTTCCAGAAACCTGATGTTTTTACTTTAAAATGAACAAGTTGTGCATTTCAGTTGTCCAGCCTTTAGGTCCAAGCCTGGAACCACCTCCCTTTGGTAATGTTACTAGCCTATTTTTAAAAAAATTAAAACTACCTACAGGATAAATTTTAATCCTATTAATATCCTGAGTAGAAACTCACTAATTCTCAATTCTGTAATCCACAAATGTGATCATTCTCTCCAAAACCCCAGTGGCCTCATGCCAATTCTCAGTGAAAATTTACTAGACCAGTGCTGTAATGAAGTCTCTCGACTACGACTTCATTAGTTACTATCTAGATCAGGGGTTGGCAAACTTTTTCACCTGAGGGCCACATCTGGGAATAGAAATTGTTTGGCGGGCCATGAATGCTCACAAAATTGGGGTTGGGGTGCAGGAGGAGGTGAGGGCTCCAGGGTCGGGCCAGAAATGAGGAGCTCAGGGTGCGGGAGGGGGAATAGGGTGCGGGGGGAGGGCTCCAGCTGGGGGGTGCGGACTCTGGGGTGGGGCTGGGGATTTTGGAGTGTAGGAGGGTGCTCCGGGCTGGGACTGAGGGGTTCGGAGGGTGGGAAGGGGATCAGGGCTGGGGCAGGGGTGCAGGAAAGGATGCAGGCTCCGGCTGGGGGTGCAGGCTCCGGGGATGCAGGAGGGTGCTCCGGGCTGGAATCGAGGGATTCGGTGGGCAGGAGAGGGGATCAGGGCTGGGGTTGGGGTGCAGGGGAGAGGCTCAGGGGTGCAGGCTCTAGAAAGCGCTTACCACAAGCGGCTCCCGGAAGCAGCAGCCATGTCCCCATTCCGGCTCCTACGCTTCTGGAAGCAGAGTGGAGCGGCCCCCGAGCCTGCTCCCTGGCTGGAACGGCGGAGCGCGGCAAGCCCCAGACCCCGCTCCCCAGCGGGAATTCCAGGGCCAGCTTAAAACAGCTGGTGGTCTGGATCTGGTCCATAAGCTGTAGTTTGCCCACCCCTGATCTACATTCTAAGCTACTTGGGGCTTTCGTAACTGTAAAGGGCATTGGCAGTGCTCCACAAATTCATTTTAAAGAAAGTATATTGTAGGATATTTGCTAGATTATTATGAAGTAAAATTGAACTATATTCTGTGATATAGTATCCTGGATTATTTTATCATTTGTTTGTTTACCCATGAGTAATCTGTCATGGGTCTCCCAGTCAATGAGAACAAGCTTGACTCCAGTGTATATTCAGAGAGGTATATAGAGAAGTTCTTGAACTCACTTTGAAGACTTGTTTTTAATGTTGGGGTGAACTTTAGTGCTCATGAAAGTAAGAGGACTTCAAATAGGATAACGCATACAGACAGGTTTCAGAGTAGCAGCCGTGTTAGTCTGTATGCGCAAAAAGAAGAACAGGAGTACTTGTGGCACCTTAGAGACTAACAAATTTATTAGAGCATAAGCTTTCGTGGACTACAGCCCACTTCTTCGGATGCATATAGAATGGAACATATATTGAGGAGATATATATACACACATACAGAGAGCATAAACAGGTGGGAGTTGTCTTACCAACTCTGAGAGGCCAATTAATTAGGAGAAAAAAAATTTTGAACCACGAAAAACTGTAGTCCACAAGTACTCCTGTTCTTCTTTTTATTAGGAGTCTAGTTACAGGCTGCTGAGCTGAATTCATTTTGAGCCAATGGTGCACTAGCACTGGGGCTCCCCTACTATGAGCTGAAAATGCTAAG